TGGAGTGTGTGACTCTTGATCTCGGGGTTATAAGTTCGAGGCCCACGTTGGGTGTAGAGGTTACTTAAAAATAAAATCTGTAAAAACAATTAAAAAAATTAAAATGAAGGATATGCGACAAAGATGTATGTGGCCAGCAAAGCCTAAAATATTTACTAGCTGGCCCTTTACAGAAAAAGTGAGCTGACCACTATAAATCTGTGGATGATATCTTAAAAGATTTGTCCATGTTATTAAGTTTCCCTCATTTTATTTCTTTTTTTTTTTTTTAAGATTTATTTATTTATTTATTTGACAGAGAGAGACACAGTGAGAGAGGGAATACAAGCAGGGGGAGTGGGAGAGGGAGAAGCAGGCTTCCCGCCGAGTGGGGAGCCCGATGTGGGGCTCGATCCCGGGACCCTGGGATCATGACCTGAGCCGAAGGCAGACGCTTAATGACTGAGCCACTCAGGCACCCCCTCATTTTATTTCTAACAGCTGTGTAGAATTCATAAAATGGCTATTCCATAATTTATTTCATTATCCCCCTATTAGTGGATATTTACGTTTTTCCAACAGCTTTGCTATTACAAACAGTGCTAGTCCAAACATCCCTTGTGTACATGTGTGGGTGATTCTGCAGGATACATCCCTGGAAGTGGGATTGAAATTGGGTTAGAAAATGCATACTCTTATTAAATTTTTTTTATTAATATTTATATTACTTGGGAAGTGAAATATTTACACGCAAAGGGTAGTATACCATACAGATTTCTCAGCTTTGTCTCTATTTCAACTGTCCTACCTATTTTATAAAATCTACCTTTATTGAGCACTTTGTGTCAGATACTGTCTTTACCACTTTTTATGCACTATCTCATTTATCCTTAACAAGCTTCTAAATATTGATACTGTTTGTTTCACAGATGAAGAAACCGAGTCTCAAGGAAATTACTGCCCAGGTTGACACCATCTACTAAGAGGAAGGAACCAGAATTTTTTTTTTTTAAGATTTTATTTATTTATTTGACAGAGAGAGAGACAGCGAGAGAGGGAACACAAGGGGAGTGGGAGAGGGAGAAGTAGGCTTCCCGCTGAGCAGGGAGCCTGATGCGGGGCTCGACCCAGGACGCTGGGATCACGACCTGAGCCGAACGCAGACGCTCAATGACTGAGCCACCCAGGCGCCCC